AAATTTAATTTTTGAAAATCAAAAGTTTTTTTTAAATCAAATCTAATTTAAATTTTCTCTTTCTTTTTTTTTCAAGATCTTTGAATAAAACTTTGGTTAAATATTTTTGTTTATCCACAATTCATGAAAATATTAATGAAAAAAAATAATCAATTACATTAGAACTAAATTTTAGTTCTAATAGTTACTGATCATATCTATTTTGTTTTATTTTAATAAAAATAATATAATCATGAGTACTTTAAGTGCTAAAATTTCCAACTTATTTTAAGCAACTTTTTTTATTCGCTCGTAAACACCAATAATTGAAACAATAGATAAATTTAAGTTGCCTAATTTTGAAAAACCTTTTAAGCTATTACTTCTTAGAATATTTTTAAAGTTTCTGTTTCATACATAAATAGACAAAAATGCTCATATGATGTTTTCTTCTTAATCAGGTTTTATTTGTGGTTTTTCATAAAGGTATGTTATTTCCTGGAAGGAATGATTTATAAACTTTTGTAACATGTTATTTTAGAAAATTGATTAATTGTTTAAAAAAATTTATTTATACCTTCATCATTGCGTTTATTATGCTTTTATTTTTCCTTATATGTGGACAATACATAAACTTAAAACAGTTTTCGACGAAAATTGCCACAAAGAAAGTAGCAAAACTAAAATTTCAACCAAAAATCAAAAAGCGACTGGAAAAGCCAAAAACAAGATTTGGTTTTCTCAAAATGCAAAATATCTGGCGATATTTGGGAAGCAGAATATTAAATGTACATTATTTGAACAAAACAAGAACCAAACACAAACTAACAACTGACCTGATCGTACTAAAATATTAATATTTAATTTTAAATGATTTTACACTTGTTTTTCTTTCAAATTCGTTTATACAACATGTTTTTTTTTCTCATTTTACTGTAAGATAATAAGAATCAACTCTTAATTTATATAAAAACAGTTTAATAAACGCAATAATGTAGAAAATGAAACATTTGATTTCGTATGACAAATGCTATGAATGTGTACTTTTTATTCGATTGTATTGAGGTGAAAGATGCTTGCAAGCTGTGATGATTTTACATAGCAAACTGTATTTAAAACATATAAAAAAAAGCAATTAGTCTTGATAATCAGAGTATTTGATACTATAGCGCTGTAATTTGTTAGTGTGTTCCTTGGCCGTTCCTTTTGCATAAAAAAAAATTGATTTGCCATGCGCAATCAAATATATTCTATACCCTCCTTTTGGGAGCACTTTTTCATATGCACAGCACTCACTTTATTGTACAAGTTCACTGTATGTTTAACGTTGTACTCTTTTTGCAATATAAGTAGTACTATGCACTTGTACGAAAGCTTGTTTTTTCGCTGGGTTGCTTTCCTCGCAACTATTAGAAAACATTTTATTAAAGTGCTCCAAATCTAATGAACTGTTTTCATCGAAAACTTACTACAAATCTCAACAGCTTAAAGGGTAAAGAAACTTGCAAATTATGTATAAGTTCCCAATTTCGTGAGTGATTATTTGAATCATAAAGATGAAACATAAAAATAGCTTACTATGCATTTGATATTTCATTTGTACATTCATATGCATTTGAGTTTCATGTTAAGCTTTGATATCTTCATAATGATATTTACCTACGTTTTTTTTTTAATTTTTAAAATATTTTGTATGTAATTTAAGTACATTATTTTTTATAGTATTTTGTATATTATATACTTTTTAGTTTATAATTTATTTATAGTTTAGTTTATACTTTATTTATTTTATTATATGTTTAGTTTAATAGCATAATTTATTACATAATTTGTGCAAATTATTTCTGTTAGTATTTATCCGTGCATATCTTGAAAACAAACATTCAAATAAAATTTCTAAGGAATATTTGTTCTTAAAAAGAACATTGTACTGAAATATTAATATTTAATTTTAAATGATTTCAGTTTAATAACATAATTTATTATATAATTTGCGCAAATTATTTCTGTTAGTATTTATCCGTGCATATCTTGACAACAAACATTCGAATAAAATTTCTAAAAAATATTTGTTCTTAAGAAGAACATTGTCTTCTGTTTGCAATTACAACTTTAGGCAATTGAACAATTCAAAACCAAAATTTGAATTAATTATTTGATCCAATGCTGGCTAGTGGATTACTAAAGCAGTCTTATTGCATTTGTGATTTAGAAAAATTAACTTGTCAAACTTGAAAATCTTTTCGTATACTTCACGTTCCAAAAAAACAATAAAAATCTCTTAACTGATATTTTTGTTTCATGTCAGTGTAAATAATTTTTCTAAACAAGAACCTGCTGCTATAGAGAATAATTCCAGCTTAGAAACTACATCAAGCATATACTAATAAAATTAAAACATATTTTTGAAGGCATAATACGGATGGATAACTTTAATAAATTAGATATTATAATATAATACACGAATTCAAAATATAATAAAATAAACTCATAACAATATTGTTTAAAATAAGAAAATTGTATATATTTTATAAATATATAATTTTATATATAATGCATATATAATTATACATTTTATATTATTTTACATTTGCAAAAAAGGAACAATTAAGTTGTATGATGCAACAATTAAGTTGTTCTATTTAGCAATCTATAAACTGTATTAAAAGTTCCTCTGTACGAACAATGCATAAATAATTAAGCACATTTAGCGTTTTTATTTACTCAGTACCCCATATTATTTTTTTAAAAAATTGCAACGTAATTCATTTATACCCTAGTTTTAATTTTGAATAAATATTTCGCTTTCTACTATTTTATACCAAAGCTTAAAATCAGTCTAGACCACAACTTTTTCTGATACCAATGGTAAATGAAGTGCAATGTAAAAATAAAATAAAAAATAACATCATTTTTATCCTTTTAAAGTTATCCATTCGTTTTTAAATGCGAAGAGTGTTTTAGATTATTAAATACTGTATAATTTTGTTTTCTCATTTCCAAAAAATTTATACATAATTTGCAGGGAACGCGGATTTTTCTTAAAAAATAAAGAAAGTTTTTAATTTTTTCATCACTAATATTATTACTAAAGTACATCATATTTGCTGTAAAAGCTGTTTCTTAATTTCGAAGTTTTTGCTGTACGAGGAAAGAACCAAGCTGCTGAGTCAGAGTACAACGCGAGTGTGGAAAACTAATTATATTTTAAAAGTTGTAAAAGCTGCCTATAATTTTTTGAGTGGTGCTACTGTCAATTTGCAGCATTAGTACGACAAACGTTTTGGCAATCTTGAAATTTTGCTAACCGTTAATACGTTTATTTCAGTTCACTTTGCAATTCTCATTCACTAAATATTATCGTCTGCACAACTGCACTCTGTGGCTAACGATTGTTTTGAGACCTGCTTCCGTCTCTAATGATTGCTATTTTTGTAATGTTGCGGCAAATACGAGTTTTACGACAAAAGTGAATGAAAGGGGTGCATGTTGTGATTCGTCAAGTATTGTTTTCTAATTTGAAAACGAAGTATTAATTATTTTTTTGAATTTGGAAATGATGTGGAAGCGAACTCATTTGTACTCAAAGATTCGTATCAATAACTGAAAGAAAGACAGCTTCTATCGCTGAGTTCTCCAATGTAATTATAATTTTTTTAAGCAAATCAGTTGCAAAAATTTTAGCTTGAAAATTTTCATTGCGCTTTTGCTTAGTTTCACAAAATCATCACAAAGCTCTTCAGGGTAAGTGAAAAGCCTGGCCTTTTTCAAGATTGCCAAAATTATTGGAAAATTTTATTACTATTTACACCAAAGAGCTGAATGTAGCAAAAGATGGAATGTTATTTTTGCAGCCTGGAACGAGCAAGCTGAATTAATAAAAACTATTATTTACTGCATTTGTTTGTCTCATTCTTTTATACCAAAATCACCGAAGGATTTATTAAAGATTAAAAGCGTTTGCAAAGTGGAATTCAAATAACAAATAGGAAAAACATAATAAATAAAAAGTTCAAAATATCAAATTCAGAACTACGAACTTCACAAAATGTTAAAAAGCAATAAAATGAAAATGTAAGGAGACGACAATACTTTAAGCACTTTTTTGAGTATTTGAAACATGAAAAGCAAAAACATTAGAATTTTACACAATTCACGGTGCTTAAAGCAGTTACTGGGATGTTATAGTAAAGGACTAAGATTTTACCTCTAGTGGTTATCCACCCTCTTCAGATCAATGGATGCCTATTAGTCTGGAGGAAAAAAGTGGCCGATTGCCATAACCTTCATGACACCTTTAACCGAGAACTAGATGTTGAAAGAGCGCATTATTTTAATTTCAGTAAAACTGCTTCACAAAAAGGGGAGAGGTCCAGTCCAAGATCGTTAGTAGAAAGAATATTACAAACTTAGTATATAAAAATCTGTTTGGTAGAGTTATTAAGCATGAAATATGCAAAATTAGTAAGTACAAAACATTTTATAGCATTAAATATCGTAATCAAAAAATATTAATCTCGAACAATGTGAAAGACATATTGGATGGACAAAGCAGCGGTGAGCAATGTCATCCGTACAGGGATCTGAAGAAAATTTTCCTTCCTCTTTAGATCAATGTCTAAATTGTGCACGTCGCCTCACAAACGAGTGCAGCTGCCATATATTCGGAGAGCTCTGAGTTAAGTCGTGCTTTCAACTTTGAGGCTCTGTTGTTAAAGGTTTCTTCCCGACTTCGGGCGCTCTTTCCCGAATTAACTCACAAGGCTAATGGCATTTCGAGCTTGGCTTGTTCAAGCTTTATTAGAAATAACAGTACAACATCAAAAATAAATATTATTTAACGTAAAAAACTGAAATAAAAAAATCATTAATTCCTCCTTAAATGAACATACTTACACAACAAAATATGCATAATATAATTTTTTTAAACTTATTAATTTTTAAAAAAATTTTAATCTTTATTAAACCATTGACTTTTTTTTAAAATAGGCACCTTTCAAATTAATAAAAAAACACATTAGTTAAGTTTCTTATCTATAAAATTTATTTGATTTTAAAAAAGTGTAATGTGAATTGAGATAGAATATGTTTCGTATACCGAATGAGATAAGCTGTCAATTTATTGCCAACTTCTTCTGCATAACATTAGATATCTGCAGTTTCTTTGTAAAAGGACAAGCCAAGATCCAAAAGACAAACGAAGCCAAAAACAAACTTCTGAATCCATACATTGAAAGGTAAAGAATTGTGAAACTTCTTTGAAATTCTCGCTGAATGATCGTATCTAGTATGAAATACAGTGGGCATCGGATGATCTCCAATATCGGTGCGGAAGAGCTGAAAAAAAAGCAAAAATTAAATTACTACCATTAATTGTGAAAACACGTGTATAAATAGTGTGGAAATCTTAAAATTGAATATGATCGTGTCTTTAATATTCAATTTAAAATGTTTTCAAAATAATATGTAATGGAAATTTGCCACCGGATCTCACAATTAAAACGTATGCACTGTTAAAAAATTAGTTTCCAGGCATTTTTATGAACTACATACAACTTAACTTTTAGTTCAAAATTAAGATTCATCGACAGTTATTTTTCACAGATTTCTTAAATTAAATGGATTGTTAGGATAACTTATATGTTTCAATTAAGGTATGAAAGACTCTATATAACTGGATATAAATTAGATTAGAAGTTAGTTATCAATTTTCTTGCTCACAATTAAAATAATATATATAAATTTCATATAAAATCATTAATATGTAATGTTTCTTTACATTTTTAAACTGCTTCGCCGCCAGTTTCATTTGAAACTCCTACACAGAGAAAAAAATCCTGATAAAATTACAGTACTGTATTGTAATGACATTTCTGTTTGAAAAAACCATTATTCTGGAAATAAAAACCAAAACATAAGGTATTTTAAACCCTTCATTTGGTAATTGTTTCGTTCATAAAGTAATGGTTAACCGGGAATTCTCTTTTTTAAAATTATTGTTCTTATGACTAATCATTTAGTAAAAAATACAAAACTTAAAAGTTAATCTAAGCGATTAACTGATTTATATAGCATACTCTAAGATATCATGATAAAATTATCAAATTTTATCATATAATATAAAATTATATTTTATTGCTAATTTTATCAAAATTATTGCCAAAGCACTTTGGTAAAACTTACGAAACTTTTTGGTGCTGCCATGTATCTAAAAACACAGTAAATTTACCTTATTCTAGTAGTTTTGACCGTAAATTTTTTTCCCGATGTATATTTTAACATTTCATTCAGTAGACAAAGTTTTACTGAAATTTGCAGAAACACCAATCCGTTCAATCTATCGGAAAACTTTTTTTATTTTTCTTGATGTAAGTTTAGCAGAAATAAGACTCTCTGTGCTAAATTCACTATTAACATGACTATTTTCATATTTAATTATAGTTAAAAAATAGATTATAATATCATAAGTGCAAAAGCAGATACGTCATCTAAAACGAAAACAATCTTACATACTCAAGAAAAAGTTCAGAAATCTGAACGTAGTTTAGAAAGTTACGACATACAGGTTACGGTCTGCGATTGGCTGAGAACCCAATTTTACCGGAAAAAAATTAAATAAAAGATTGCTTCAACAAATATCTTTAACTGGCGGAATCTCAGAATTATAGATATTCATTTTTTTCTTGCTTTCAAAATTTATCGTAGCTATTCACTCGTATTATATGCCCCATTACCGTTACATATTTTATGTAATGATCAGCTTTTAAAAATTATAATAGCTATACTTTGTACTTTTATGAAGTTATTTGCAATATGCCAAAAAACAACTAATTTTCTGATAAAATATTGGGAGTTTCTTTTCGAAATTGTTTCTACCAGAAAGTTTTGCTAACAAACTAAGAATAAAGTTGTTTTTTTTATTTATAGTAATGTATCAGGATATGATTATGATGAAGAATAAGAAAGCGAGACTTGTTCGAAACTTAGACAGATGTAGTAATTTATTCCTTATCATTCTTCTAGTCTGGACAATTTTGAAGCTGGTTTTCATAGTTCCTCTTAGTTATAGTGCCTATAAGTAGCTAAATTAAATAATATTTTATACTATATCTGAAGGAAAAAAACAAAGGAAAGGAGAATGGTAGATATCTGAGGTATTTAAAGGGTAGTGCTACTCGGATTTACATGAGAAAAAAAATTCTCCTGTGTGGTGTGTTAATAACCTTACAATTCTATAAAATATAATTATGATTCTAAATTCCATAAATTATAATTCTAAAACAAGACTAAAATACTTTTCTCATGTTTAAGTTAGAGCATTTACGGAATTTAAACACATACTAAAATAATACTACCTCAAATTTCACTTTCGTCATATCAATATGAAATCAAATATATTTGCTTAAACTCTTCTATTGATAAAGTTTATTGATAGCAATGTTAAATTTTTCTTTTGTGCAGATAGATAATAAATATTTTTTTTTATTTACAACAAAATAAAATGTATGTTTTCATTAGTATTGGTATTTGTAACAAAAAACTACAGGCCAATTTATATTCCTCTTGTTTATACAGTTTTCTTTACCTATATGTAAACTTTAAATCTTATCACAAAGAATGTATTTTCATTCTTAACAAGTCATTTGTTTTTTGCTTGTTTCTTTGCTTCAATTTTATTATAAACAACGCCAAGTGGGACAAAAAATAAATTTTTGTAGTGAGAAAAATCAAACTATTGAAGCAAATTCAAACTTAATTTTAAATAATGTTTTCCTAATAAATCATCTAAGAAATATTGAATTTTATTTTGATACTTATTGTACGAAAATAGCAATGAAATTGGAATGCAATTGAATTTTCAAAAAATTTTAATCCTAGTTAAATTTACTATATTAATATAATCAATTGACTTGCATAAATGTAATGGAAATATATAACTTTTTGCATCTTACAACCCTTTGATCATATCTTTTGGTAGAACTGAAAAAAACACTTACGTGCCGGCATGTAGGAAGAGGTAAATTACATATATTTCATGTATATAATTAAAACGAAAATTAAGCTACGGAGCTTTTCGGAATCGGCTATATTAAACTCTTACATTTTAGACAATTTTAGAATATTTCATGTATCGTAAACCAAATTATTGATAAATTTTAATATTTATTATAAAAATGATTGTAAAGCAGCAGTAACTCAGGGAAAAGAGAGGTCTTCTCCCAATGAGGTAGCCCGGGTTCGAATTCCAGCGGGGGCTGTTTAATACGAATTCTACTCCTGAAGTGCAAAAACCACAATACTGATGTAAAGTATCCTCAGTGGTAAGCGAATCATGGATTAAAATCCCTTTTCCATCGGGTTAACCGCGGGAGGTTTTCATGGTTTCCCTCTCCATATAACACATATGCGGGTGAGCACAATCAAGAAGTTATCCACGAATTTTTGTTTGTCCTAATCCGTGAATGAGTTCTCTTATTTTCCGGGTTAGGTACAAAATTGCAAGGTTATGGAGGAGGCAGAATTAAGTCGGTTATGAAATAAAATTTTTAAAAAAAAGGTTATAATATGGAATCCAACCCCGCATATTAGAATCTAAATTTTTAAGGATTTCCAATTTACAAGTTTGAAACTTGGGTGAAAGGAATAGCAATCTCTTCTAATATCTTAAGTGATAATCTGTTCCACTGTACATCGTGTATTGTCCTACTATCGAAAGAAGACAGTTGATTTCTAAATCATACTACGAATCTATTAGTTCATATAGGGGTTACGTATTATTAAAGTATATGATAGATTGAACTCACAGAAGACCAGTTACCGTTGCTGGACTAAACAATCAGGTTTCATATGATTCACTTTAAAATATGTCTATGCAATCCTTTTTCTCACCCTAATGATCAGTGACTATTCTATTCAAAGTGTTAATATCAAAAATAGAATTATAAATTATAAATTGCGTTCAGGGACTTAATATAATTCAAAGTATTCTCTTTCAAGTTATAATTTTGTGAAAATTAAATTAGTTTAAATATCTCACAATCATTTTGGATACTGCACTCTGAAAAAAAAAATTATGGTCAAAACTGTCGGAATACGGTAAAATTTACAGTGTTTCTGGCTCTAAGGGAAAACTGAAAATCTCGGTAATTTTTCCAAAGCGCTTTAGCAATGATTTTGGTATTTAATAAATAATAAAAATATAATAGAGTCTCATAATATGTGATAAAATTTGGTAAATGTGATGAAATTTGTTAATTTTATCATGATACCTTGGAGCATGGAATAAGAACTATTTACTCGGTAAAATTTACTTTTCAGTTTTGTAGTGTTTAGTGTATGTATGGTAATAAGAACTAACATTTTGAAAACCAAAATTTACAGTAAACCATTATTATATGTACAGAAATACCGTATATTTTGAATTTATAATCGGAATTATGTTTTTTTTATGTTTTATTTTTTACGTTTTATTTTTTTACTACTTAATACGGCAATTTAAACAGAATTTTTTCCTCTTCAACCGATTAAAATTTATCGATTAAGCGATTAAGTTTATTTTCTCATTCATTTACAGTGAAATATCATCAAAGCTTTGATTATTTGCTAAGAAAACTTTTTGAAAAATGTACGCAATCAAAATATTAGAAATGTTCTTGAAACTAAAATAGAGAAACACATGACCAAAATAATAAAATTTCTAATCAAGATATTTCTGACATGAGTAAGATAATAGCTTTTTAGAAGAATTTGAACATTCTTAGTTCTCCGATAAGGGAAAAACAGAAGATAGATAGAATGTGTAACTACATTGTTAACATCCATTTAATGTCTTTATGTCATTAGTTTGTTTAAACAACAAAAGTTTGCTCACTTAACTCTTATATCCGAATTTTTTTTCTGAATAGTTCAGAAAAATAAATTCGAACAGATAAATTCTGAATAGAACAATCACAGATTAATCAATATTATGTTTCGTATTTTAAAGCATAATTTATAAACTTAAAAAGTAAAAAAATTCAAAACTAGCTCGAAATTATTCTAACTTTTCAAACATTTTTCTGGAAACACAAAAGATTAATATTTTAACTTGAATTAAAGTTTAATGAGCTTCCCCGATTCAACGCATGTACTAAATTTAATGTACTTACTGTTTTCTAATTTTAAATCTAAAACTAAACAGCTTAAATTATAGATAATTAGGAATCATTGATCGAGGTGGTCTTTGAGAATCAAAATGATATGATGTTTGTACGTAAGCATTTAATTTTTCTTTTGCGAGGTAAAATATTGAAGAGAAGAGTAAGGGTTGGCAAAACACCTCATGCAATTTAATGCAGGGCGGATTACTGTAGTAATAAGTAGGAAAATTTTATCGAAGTGCATTAGAAAAAAAAGTGCTGCACTTGTGTAATCGCTTAAAGAATAATACGCTAGTATCTACCGCAGCCAATCAAGATTCGAATTCCGGTAAAAAAAAATCTTAGATTATATTATGCTACCAACGTACATCGAGCACAGTACTAATGACAGTTATCTCAAGTGAATTTGAATTGGGTTTTTTTATTACACTTGTGTGAGAAATTAAGAGAGTTTGCAGACTTGATCGGTTATCTCTAGAACCGATTTCAATGAAATTTGATGTGTACATACATTGATACAATACAAACCAAATAACCATTCAACAGTTGTAATGCATACGCATGATCGTGCGTAACACTCGTTGGAGTTGGAAGGTATGAAATTGCCGCTGGACAATTCAGGACAATTGCTACAGGAAATGATAAACCGCCTTATTTCAAGTATGAAATCACACTGCAAGGCCTGTATATCTGTAAGAGGGCGCCAAACCTATCATTCACCTATCAAACATATATATCAGGCATCAAACAATTTTTTTTATTTTTTGTTTATTCTGCAACCGCTGTTTCCGACTCCAATGAGTGTTACGCTCGATCATGAGTGTGTACTACAATTGTTGAATGGTTATTTGCCTTGCAATGCTTGTACATATAAAATTTCATAATATCGGTGCAGTAGTTCTATAGATAATAGACCAAGTCAGCAAGCTTTCTTAATTTCTTACACCAGTGTATTTGAATGTTAACGTTGTGCTAAAGCTACATCTGTAAAAAATTCCGGATCAAGTAATGGATTAAAGTATATTTTGGGTTCATCATCCGTAAAATCCATTTTTACAGTAAAATATTATACCATAATTTTTAAAGTAATGTTCATAAAGTATTGTTCATAAGTAATTTTTCAGTAATTTCACGGTGAAAAAATTTGAGTATATCAGATTTTCTGCACTGTAACATGCATCATTTATCTTATATTAGGAATTTAAAATCATATATATATTAAGCTTATAATATTATAATAACAAATTGTTTCTATTCTTATTTTTCGTATTTAAATAGAAACTAAGAAAACCATCTCTCTTAAAATGTTTTAATGTATTTCAAAGTTAATAATATTACAATTTTAAATATCTTTTTTCACAAAATGCAATATTTCTCTTAATAAAAATAAAGTGTCAGATTATAAAAAAAATTTAAAAATAATATTATTATTTAATTAACTATTAATAATTTAATTTTACTCGTATGGTTGGTATTAATTTCAAAAACCAATAAAAACAATTTTATACGACGAACAATATATCGTAAGAAATAAAAACAAACAGAATAGAGAAAAAAAATATCTAACTTCACCCCATTCTCTGATAATTTGAATGTTGGACAAATATTTGCAGTTTCGTTTACTCTAATTAACCTTCAACTTTTATTATTTGCTAAATTGGGTAAGAACAACTAGATCCGAAACTGATAAAGTAATAAATAAGTATCACATTTTACTGTAAGTATACTTTTTCCCGAAAACTATTTTTACTTTGAAGTTAAAAGATAAGTAAGTTATTAACAATTAAGTCAGTTATTAATTATTAGATAAGTTATTATTTTTAAGCAATCCCTAAATTTAAAGCTATCAAAAATAACAAAAACAACCCATAAATAAAACCATGTCTGGTATATATATATATATATA